TTAACGAGCAATAATACGGTTATAACACACAACAGAGGTTAATGATCATATTCAATGTCTGTATTAAGCTTGTGTAAAATAATTAAGAGACAAGAAAACAACACGTAAAATATAGGCCATGGCCACAGACCCTACATTATAAGGTCTGTATAGGCAAAAAACTTGGGTAACAACTACATTCCTGAACCATCGCACATTTTCGTACAATTTCCATGTACAGAGATCAAGCCAGTCGGCTATTTTCAGCATTTGATAACATCCTTGAATTGGCGGCTTTCAAAACTTTCTTTATTCTCCCAAGAGTATCACTGGACCCCGCTTGTGAGAACGTTTCTCACTGAATTAATTATTACTAGGCAACTTAGTACTGGCAAATTGATACATATTTAAAGCAATGTATTTCCATTCATGCCTAGATTTAATTATTAATTAATTAATTATTTAAATACGGTAACCAATCAATCACTTTTCTGGAACGTATAATCGTCTTGCAATAGGTACGCTTGTTTAATCGTACATATATAACTATAATGCAGGATTAATTAATTATATACTTTATTCTAAGATACAAATCAAGTTTCTTGATAAGTTACAGCTATAGTTAAATTAAATTTCTTCTAAGCAATAAAGTTTCAACTTAGAATATTTTGCAGGATAAAATAAACACTTCTTTACTAAAAATTATGCTATTAAAACTACTTCGTAAAACAATGAATCTTAATAATAAAGTATTTCGCCATACGTACTTTCAAGAACATAATAAGGTCTTGTTTTGTAAACTGGCATAGGACCTATTCTATTTTTTCAGTAAATGTTTTCTCATACACGATTTCAAACAAAATGTTTTCGTTACACAACTACTGGAGTAGGGAGTTATCAACTCACTCTGGTTAGACAATGAACATGAATTGCTTTATCAGATAAGACAAAAGATATCAAATAACGTCTCCGTGGTAACGTTAACTTTAAACCCTACTACTCTAGTATTGTTGCTTTTTATTGAGTAACAAACGATTGAATCGA